CWYTTTTTTATTGTTTARTCTTTTGGAAACATAAGTTTTGTGCTGGTAGTCTGCAACCTGTGTCTCCTTCTCTGTTTTCGATCTCAGTGCATGCAGTTCTCCACTTTAAAGATCTTTACTCCGTGTAGTAATTAGGTTTGGTTTGTCGTTCTTGTGTTTTTTTTATTTTTCCCTCCTGCTCTGCTCTTTGTTTACCTTGGATCTTGCCACCTAATCATGTTTTTGCATATCTATAATYCAACACTTCTTATTAGTTGTCTATAGTTTGCTTGTGGCTCTGGTATTTTTAGTTTGTGCCTTCTTTAGTATTTTTTTTTTATTTTTTGCACTTTTTTTTGTTTACTGTGTATTTTGTCTCAGTCTTTTTCCTGTGGTTTTGTGTACCGCTTGGATTTCTGGATTTCTTTGTTTCTGTGAAGTAAAGCTTCCGTTTGTTTAATGCTGAATCCTGCCTGCGCCTCCTGCCTTTGTGTCCTCCCTCTCTTTAGAAATAACATTCACTTGGGCTATTTTTGCCCATAAAAATGTAAATGCGGTTTTATTGGAAAAAAAGCAAAAAAGTTGATACCTCTGTAGGAAATGCGTCTGTTGTTTTTCATGCTTCTGGTCACAAATAACCTCCTCTCCCTGTCAAACTGTCTTCAAACACAAATTTAAATCAGTCAGCTCAGATACAGATAATGATTACCAGTTATTATTCTCCTGTTATTCAGCTATTTTTCTTTATATCTCTGTAATTACCACACTGGACAATCATAACAGTCACTCTGAGCATGCTTTTGGTAAGTAAACAAAGAAAACTCTCTTAAATATCTCTAAGGTCTTTTTCTTTCACCAATCCCTGAGTAAAAAAAACAAAATCAATGGCCCTCCTAACATTTAATGGAATCTCTTCATGCCTCCTTTTTATAAATACTTTGAGCTCGGTGGGGAGGGGTTCTCAGCTTTGCTTTCAACAGATGCCTTCAGATTATTTCGAGTTGGGAGGCTGGATGAACACCTCGGACTCTTTGTCGTGTCCTTTGTAGCCATTTCAGCTTCTGCCCCGCTGCTGTGGTGGAGTGCTGTTGCCATGCGGTGGGTGTGATTGGTCTGCAAAAATGTTGAGGTGGGTGGTAAGTGTCAAAGCAGCGTGAAAGCCGGGATGCAGGTTTTTTTACCAGCAGAACATTGTGTTGTAACAAGATGTACAACAATAATAGGTTACCAGCAGTAATGTTACACAATGGTGCTCTCTGCCAGAACCCGATACAATTTTTTTTTTGAGATGAGGGCAAATTTCTATGTTAAGTTCTTTTTGCTTTTACTTTGTTTTACTTTGTTATMTCTTTACGGCAGCAAATTATAGATATGTTTTGGTAAAGATAAAAAAAATTGAGTGGTATTGTGCAGCTGTCGGTGGTCACAGTGATAAAGTTGATTTGTGTAGACCAGTAGTAGTTCCRCTATTTTTTATTTCTGCTTTCAGTTGTCAAATGATGGAAAGGTTCCGTCAGCCTYGTTTTTTTTTCTCCTGCTAAAAATAACAATAAACCTGAAATAAWAGCTATAATCTGTAAAACAATATCCCTTTAAAATAACAGAGAGGTAGTTCAGATCTTTCAAAGGGAGTCTCTGTGGAAAGGTTATAAACAAGTAATATCTTACCTGTTGCAGATAGGTTTTTGGGATTACCTTGTTTTGGAGAAAACTGGTTTTAATTCTGGCCGGACTGATGATTTAACAGGTTTATGTGTCATATTATAATYTTTTGTTTTAACAGGGTTAATGTTGGACATGATTCTAATTGTCTACTTATTTGATACTGTTTAAGATAGGTACAGTGGGCAGGAACCATGTTGCTATTCTATAAGAGTTGAGCATGAGGTGGGTTCACTATTATTAGCACCATGGAAAAATATTGTGTATTTTTGACCATTGTTCATTAAATGATCTCTGGCTAACGGAAAATATACGTATTAAGAGATTCATCTTGTATTTTATAAGTTTAATATTTGCGGACTCAGTCTTTCACAGATTTTTCTTAGAACCTTCAATAGCTACCACTAGGTTCTGGTAATCCTTGTAATACTGCAGAAACTGGGATACTCTGTTTTCTCTTGTGCTTTTTTGTATTTGTATTTTTGTAACATGAACTTAATCTAAATTCAGTTCCATATTAAAAATACACGGTAAAACCTGGAGCACAGGATTTCCAACAGTTTSCTGTWCAGTACTGTGTGGCGTGTAGCTGCTTTAGCTCTTGTGTGATTGTTTRGTTATCACCACATTAYGCTGCCACCTTTTCTGAATGCACCMGGTATTTGTGTTTTATTACACTATTCAAGGGTAGTCAATAAGAACAAAACCCTGCAAAAACTGAGGCTTCACTGTAATTAATTACAAGTCTGAAAGTATTAGCTAGCTTGACGCTAATGTAAAGTGCTATTCYTTGCACTCATTTCCTGGCAATCATTATAACACAATGCAGTGAAAAACAAAAAGAGAGGAAAGACAAACAGAACAGGTTTACCTCTATTTATACCAAGTTGGACTATCTGGTCAAGTTTAGCACGGCTACTTTTGCACCTGCAGAATTTTTATTATACAGTTATTCTACTGGAAATAGTCTAATATTCATTTTTTTCATCACTTCAGTAAGAACTTATTAGTTTCCTAATTTCTTCATCAACAGTGATTTTTTTAAAGTAAAGAGGAAATAGAAAATGAAGAAAAAACAAAGAGGAAATTTAATTAGATAGATTAAAAAAGAGATTGGAAATATATTAAATTTACACCAAGAAAAGACAAGGCCACACACCCGACATC